TATGATTAAATATCTAAACATACTTAATTTATTTCCATTAATATCTGTTGTTGTAGCAGATAATAAATTAGCAAATGAAGAATTGGCTGATGTTAATCCAGACATTTTACTGGTAATATTATTTATATTCGATGATATAACTGTTTTTTGTTTTAAATGAGTTTTAAGTGCTTTAAGTAAGCGAACAAGATTTTGTTGACCATTAAATTGATCTTGTACAAGTCCTATACGTGTACCATATCTAGAAATAATTTGAATAAACATCAAAATAATTTTAATTTAAGAAATTAAACCTTAAAGCTTTAGTGACACCAAGTTCTTGCATTGGACTTAATAAACTTGTAGATGACAATTTGTGCAGATCAGCTTCTATATTTTCAGAAAAGAAAAATTAATTCAATATGAATTTATTTATATACAACGTAGAAACACTGGTATTTGTATAAAATTAAATTCGATAAGATAACTTACTTTGAACAGTAGCAGAAGAAGAAGATGATGATGAATCTCGAGATGGATTAAAAACAACATCCATATGAAGTTTATCATGAATATCGACAACAGCATCTAATAGATCAGCCATAACTAAAATAATGAAATGATTTAATAGAAAATTTGATATATTTTTCTAACATACGAGAAAGTGGTACAGATTCTTGAGTAGATTGACGAAGAGTAGTCATAAATAAATGACGACATTTAGTTAACCAACGATCATCAAGTCGATCCGGTCGAGAACTTCTTATAAAACGATGTAATTCATTTTCTTCTAAAATATTTACAAAAGTTCATTTTACAAAAGATATTTCAAATTAAAAGTAATCTTTAAAAATTATTCAAATATTAAGTGAAAAACAATCGTTTTGTTTGTTTAGAATATGAACTCAGAATTTTAGTCGGTGAGCGACCACGAGGAGTTTTCTGAAGAAGCTGCAAATTATACTGGAATACTAATGTTATCTATATGATATTAGTAATTGTTCAGCTCAAATATAAAACTGATCTTATGTTCGTAATAATTACAAAAAGATCATGTTTTCAGTATCCTGTTTTACAAGATCTGAAGATTTATCTAATGTTTTGCTATAAGATATGACTTTGATGAGACTCATAATATTTTATTTAATGTTCATTGTAGTTTAACTAAAATAGCGATCCAGAAATGATATTACGAGAAAAATTGAATATCTATTTATACGATCATATCTTCAAATGTCAACTTCTGCTGAAAAAGTTTCTAACTGTGTTTCCATAAATAAACGAGAGTACCGATAAAGTTCTTTTTAGAAAAACAATTTTTTACCAGTTTTCGAATTATTCAATCCTCCATAAGTTACTTTTATTGTATAAATATCTGGAAGTGGTATTGAACCAGCAAATAATGGTATTCTTGTTATTACCGTTGGATCATTATCATTTAATGTCCATGGTGGCATATTTTTTTCTTGAACTCCACCTAATAATTCTGCATTAACAAGAACATGATTACGTGCTATAGTTAATTGATCTAAAATAATATTTCCTCCTGATTCCATTTCTCCTTGTGCTTGTCGTAATTTTTCAATATAATTAAATTTTGTTTCAAGTATTAATTGAACATCTAAATCTGATTGCATTACTGATAATAATCTAAAATCAATAATTATATGTTTAATTTTGTCTTTATTCAAAAAGAAAAAAAATCAGTTATTACCTTAATCCAGTTGTATGTGTATGTTCATAGCCAAGAAGTTTTTGGATTTCATTATCATCACTGATAAATGAGATTCGTTCGAGTAGACCCTATAATGACAAAAACCAAATTGTTTATTTAAGAAGAACAAATATACGAAATCATACGGTAAGTGTACATGGTTTAGGATTTTCATCAGCATTATGAGGTGTTAATAATTCATTCTCATCCGCTGATAATAATTCATAAGCAGCAGAAAATGGAGAAACAAGTGAAAGAAGACTTAATAGAGGCTAAAAATAAAAATTATTTATTTAAAATAATTTTTTTCTCCTTTACACATAGAATGATGAATCATTCTATGTATATGACTTTACTTTTAGAGCATATCGACTAATAGGTTCAGATGGAAAACGTCGAGGAAAAACAGTTGTTAAATCATCTGCTACATATTCTAATTCACTCCAAAGTTGATCAATCAAATATTCAACAAAACCTTTATATATGAAAAACAAGATTAGTATATGCCAAATTTTTTGAAAAAGAAATCGATCAACAAACCTGAATGATCAAGACGTGAAACAACAGATGGTGTATTAGCCATTTGTGAGAGTAAATATCCATAACCATAATTTTCTAATTTACCTACTTGACCTGCCGATCGCCATCGTTCATCAATATAAGTAACACATTCTGGCAAGTAACTAGTTTGTGTTAAAAGATACATGCCTATTGTATATGAAAAAAATAATAGAATATATTATTTAAATTTTTTTATTTCAATTGGTGCTATTGAATACTTATTGAAGATCTATACAATTTTGTCTCTAATACTACAGACTCCGACTACTTATCTCAATTCTTTTCATGTTTACGAATATGATTTTACCTTTTGGTGTTACAGCAAATAATAGTAGATTATCAAGTAATGTATCTTTCCATGATATATTATTTTGATTTAATTGATCTTCTGATACTACTGATTGACTTCGATATAATGATGGTGTATTATTTGTTTCTATCTACATACAATCATAAATATCAATTAAAAAGTAAAATTTTCATTTCAGCGAATACAAACTTCAATTTTAAATGCATCGGCTAGTATTTTATGTAAATTCGTTCGTTTAATTGTAAGTAAACCCATTGTACGAGAATAAATTAATCGACATACATAAATAAATTCTGATAATAACTTCGTTGGCATCGATGAATATGATGTTGTTAATGATAAATCTGGTGTTATTAAACCTGATCGATTATTTGTATATTGAGATATTATACGTTTAACATAACTAACAATTAATGATGCTGGTGAACTTTAAAAATAATGAATATGATTCGAAATTTAAAAGAAATATATATATTCTTAATATCTTACGGATTTGATGATGAAGGAGTTCGTATAAGATATTGATAACCAACATCATTTGATGCCATGGCAGCAAATAAATCAGCAAGACTAATAAGACTATTTTCTGCAAAAGTATTTGCATTTGATCTTAAATAATCGTTAAAAGACTTTTTTGCTGCATGAAATTGTTTTATTGGTCGAAATAATATATCAAATAATTCATCACTACACATCAATGGTCCACATGTATCTGGTTCAAGACAAAGTCTTTTTAATAATTGACAACATAATGTAGAAGCTGCTCCTATACGAACAAACAAAAAATTCAATTTAAATGAATATACATATATATTATCTTGAGAAAAATTCTTTACTTCCACTATTTCCAGTAAACATTATTTGAATAAATACTCGAAGTATATCTTTAACATTAACTAATAAAAACAAAAAAAAATAGATGATGTAAAAATTTCTTCAATATAATTTACTTCGTCTGTCATTGTTAATTACTAATGGTAAAACTGTTTCACGTGCTTGTTTTGAACAAATAATATGTTCAAGTAAAGCTAGTGAATGAACAAAATGTATATTTGCTAATTCGATTCGTGTATAATGCGATGAACTTGCTGGTACAATAGGTGGTGGAACAGGTGTTGGAGTAACCGAAACAGGTGGAATTGTAATAAGACTTGAAAGAAAAGATGGTGCTAATGGTGGACCATTTGCCGATGGCATCATTGATCGCATACTGCTATCTGATGAAGCTGTAGCTAAAGAAAATGAAGCGATATTGACTTTTTTTTTCTCTGAAAAGAATTAATAATTTACTAGTTGATCTTTTTCGTAAGCTGGGAGAATATAAGGAATTATCATTGCTATCATTTCCTATATTATTTGTTTGAGAATGTGTTTGAGCATAATTAACAATTGATTGATATGCATTCATTAACTAATAATAAAATATTTTCGAAGAATTTTAACTTTAGAAAAACTCAATTTTTACTTACTAAACTTTTCGTATGTGTTAATGAACGTAATAAATATGCTCGACTATACGTCGCATGCTAATAGAAAAAGAAAACAACAAAAATAATTCTACAAATATATACAGACTCTTTTGATATTTATCTTTCTTTAAATAAGAACTAAAACAGATAACTTACCATCCATGTACGAAACCAATTTGCATCCAGATCAAGTAATGCTACAAAATGAAGTGGAAGTATTCGACCACCATTTGATTCTGGTACTACTGAACCCAAAGAAAATAGACGTACTGTTTCGTTGATTATATGTTCTACATGACTAAAAAAACCAAAAATCAAATAATTCATTATCAAAAACAACAGCATACCTTTCTGAATATCTCATCCAATATTTAGTTGTTTCTTGTAAAAATTCAAGTATAAGACGTATCTGAAACAAATAGTTAAAACTTCAAGAAAAGAAAAGAAAAGAAAATGTTCTTCACTTGTTTAAATTTTATTTCTATAATTGGATTTGTAATGTCGAGTGAAATAGCTGTTGGTTGTAATTCATTGGTAGTTGATGAAGAAAACCATTGAACTAAATGTTCAACTATATAAGAAAAATAGAAAATAATTTCAGAATAGATTAAAAACTGAATTCTACCAAGATTCGTTAATGTTTCACAAACAACATTCATATTTGCTGCTGCTAATAAACGTGAATGTAATGTTAAACAAGCCATCTATATAAAATAAATAAATACAAATAGTTTTTAAAATTTAATAATCTTACAGCAATTTCATGATTTGTATCGCCTAATGCAAGAATTAAATTAGGACAAAGTATTTTCCAACTTCCAATTGATATGACTTCATTCGGTGCATAATTTAATAAATCATTCAATGCACGAAGACGAACCTTTTAAAATAAATCAATAGAAAATAGATAATATTTTGTAAATAAATTACTTTTTCAGATTTTGTTGATGATAAATTATCAGCAACTGTACGTAAATGATTATCATCAAAAAACATAAAACTTTTCTAAATAAAAATTCATATTTTATTCCTATAAATAAATATACATCTATTGAAATATATACATGACGTCCACTTGATCCATTAGTCAATGAATTTTCTGAATCACTTCCATAACTAACATTATATGCTGATGAACCTCCACCATAACCATCCATTGCTGAATGACGATTTTCAACAATTTCACTTAATGCCATTGAAGTTCCAACTATTGTTCCATTATCAATAAGTATGGTATCAGATGCTATATCAATAGCTGCTGATGATGATGTTAATGGAAATTCTTCGTCAAAATTTTCAATTAAATCAATAAGTATTGATTGAAAACGCTTTAAAACATCATTACGAAATGATGAAAATTCACGTGTTTCAGTTATTGTTTGACTTATTGTTGATGCACCTTCATGTTCTAATCGACTTTTATTTAATTGTTGTTTTTGTTTTTTTATTGATGTATTTGATAACATTGAATGTTCAATTTCTTTATCAATTGTATCACCAAATGCATCATCAATAATATAATGTAATTGACCTAATAATTCCGAACTAAATGAAATTAAAAGAATAGATATATTAATAATAATTTGAAAGTATTAAAACAAACTTATGTGCAACATCATTAATTGATGATGTTAATGAATGATGAAGTTGTTCATCTGTAAATGGTAAATTTGTTGATCCTCGTCGTGCAGCTTTTAATAAAACAGGATCAAGTGATTTTAAAAATAATTTCATTAAATGCTGGAATTTTTCATCTGAGACATTTTCTAAAACGTTCTTAGCTGTCGTCATTGGTACTTAATCTAAAAACATCCTCATTTTTATATTGATTTTATATCAATCATATATTTCTATATTCATAAATATGAACCATTCTTGACGTAGTTACTTTGACAACAGAATGTGCTTCATTCTGTTTTTTTCTTTTCATCATCTATCGACTTTATCATTGATTGGTTAAAATTTATTATTGTCAGTCAGTATGTTTTTATTTATAAATGAATGAATGAACGAATATGAACACGGAAATTTAACATATGAAAAAGGAAATTATAATTCATATCCAATTAAGAATATTTCTAGAGGATAACCGTACTTCTCATTTGTAATAACGACTAATTTGTATATTATTATGATTGTTATATACTATCCTTCTTTGTTTATATAGTTTTATGGTAAACAGGATTTTTGACATGATAAAATATAATGTATTTAGGAGCATCTTATTGTAATAGAATATCACAAACAAATACTTGTATAAAAGTTGAACAAAATAATTTACTTAACAATGTATATATATATATATATAATGATACTAATATTCATCATATTTACAATTAGCAATTATAAATAATTAAACAAATTTTAAGATTGAAATTATATTTTAAATATTACAAACAACATTTATATTACAGAGTAAAACATATCATACAAATACAATCTTTCATTTATACCGGCTAGCATGAAAACGATACTACCGTCATTTTAAAAATAGAAAGCATACATTTATTAGTTCGATATATAATACAACGAATCACAGCAGCAACAACATAAATATATATATATATATGTCATATAATAATATTGTTACGTATCATCTTTGTTATGTTGTACATCGATGCGTTGCTTCAGCTGATATCGGAACACAACTCACTGAACCGTCGGTTAATATTACTGGTGTATATTTACCAAAGACTGTTTTAATGCACAATTTTATTCTTTGTATAAATACTGAACGAAATAATTGACTTGATAATGTATAGATATAGAATGATTTACAATAATTAGCATAATATATAAGTGTAGTAAATGACATTAGGAAAGAGCCAATTAATTTATCATAACCAGTTAGTGGTGGTCCTAATACATAATATGCATAATAAGTCATACGTGTTAATATCAATAAAGAACTAAATCCAACTTGAGAAAGCATCATCTATAAATTAAATATTATATTCAATCTTTCTTATTTATTATCTATCACTTACCACAATTAATTGCGTATCGTTTTTTTCTTCACGCTGTTGTCGTTGAGCAAGTGCAGTTGGATTTTTATGCGAATGGATTGCTATTCGTCTTCTGGACCGTTTGATATTCATATAAGTGAGGAAGCCAAATATTAACATCATTACATGGGGAATAACACCAAGCCAAAATACTACAAACATACTATCATACATTGCAAATGCTCCTGCTAATGCACCACACCTTGGTCGAAGATCATATCCAATAACAATATGAATACATGATATAAA